CCTCCGATCATGGTGTTCGAGATCCGAGATGGTTCGTCTCCGGCTCCCCGACGTGCATTGGTTTGTCATGGCCGACGACGACACGGTTGTTTTCCCCTACAACTTGGTGAAGGTGTTGAGCAAGTACGACCACCATCAGCCTTACTACATCGGCACCACCTCGGAGAGCCACTTCCAGAATGTGCTCGGCTTCAGTTCCAACATGGCCTATCGAGGAGCCGGCTACGCGATAAGCTATCCCCTCGCTCAGGAGCTTGAGAGGATACAGGACGAATGTATGCGCAGGTACCACCATCTCTACCGTGGGGATAGCCGAATCCACTCCTGTGTAACCGAGGCTAGCTCGGTGTCGGACTCACCATCGAGCGAGGATTCCACCGGGAGGAGTCCCGGAACTCAATCCCAGCTCGGAGCTAGGACTCACTAGTGGCATGGCCTCTAGTGGAGCAACCATGGAGTTGGAGCTCGCTCCCACTCCCGGTTGCTCGCTGCTTGAGAGTACCTGAACAAAGTTAAGACGATCGACTGCGGTTGCCATGTCCTTATCGAGCTCGCTCACAATCCTTTCCTGAATTGAACTTGCCATACCGAAGAATGACAAGATTGGAGAGGTAGCAGCAATCGCCAAGCAGCATTTGCCTCTACCCGGCTTTTGCCCGGAAGAAAGTTAATCTCCTCAACATGCAGCATCATGTGCCACTGTCCAGTTCCACCTGCAGTCCGATCCTGAGCCACCTTTCCAAAGAAGGCACCAAAGCTAATACCTTCAGCCGCTAGAGGTTGGACTCCGCTTCCCTCCCACAGAAACCTGAAAAAATAAAAATAAAATAAAAACTCATGAAATTCACAAAACCAAAAGGACTTAAAAACGACGAGTACCTTACTGTTTCGTTGTTTGGATTATCTTCGAGGTGTGGCTATGTCACGCTTTGCTTACATCCCCCTGTCGCTTTGCCTGGACCGGGGCACAATCAGAAGTACTTACACAAATTCGCAAAATCTGGGGTCACCATATGCCTCCCTTATTTTTCTTTTTCGTTTCACCAAAGTCGATAGCATTGGACAGTGCCCCCACCTCTTTTTTTCCATCGCTTCATGTGCCAGCCAGTGTTGCGTGTATGGACAGCATCCAGCCTGTGTCCCAGCTGGCATGCAAGCTTCAGCTTCGGCTGCAGCCACTTGAGCAATCGCACTGGCAAAAATCGGTTTCTTATCGGCTGGAAATCCGCATTAGTCGAAACGTCTGCAGGTTTTCTTCCAGCTTCTCTTCCAGAAGAAAAAAAATCCATGCAAAGACAAAAACGTAAGGGGCCACCCCATCCCACGCACCTGCTTCATACTCCCAGGACACTTGCTCCTCGTCTCCCTGCGCGGCGGAAGCAGCGAAAGTTTTGAGCAATCAATGTGGGAATTGAAGGCGCTTCATGCAACTACGTGTCCGTCCTGACTCCTAGAACAGCAATAGTATGCAGAACAAAACATTTCCGCACCTTCAATTTCCATAGCATTTCTCCAAGATTTTGCAATGTAAGCCTTCATTTGGAGGCCAAGCCAATATGGCTTATCAACAGCACCATCTTTGTGGAAGCCGGTGAAAAGGTACCTAATGCTGTTCAGTCGTCAGTATGCTTATTCTATTGCCCTAGTGGTTTGAGTATGTTTATTCTCCTAATGCCTAGACTGCAATGTATTTCTCTCCTAGTTTATGTAATGGATATCTAGGTGCAGTTCTAAGAAATCAAACAGATGAGAAATATAAGCTAGATTGGAAGTTGTGCTATTGCTGTTTAGCCTGAGGTTTACTGCTATTGCTATTGCTGGTCTACTGCTAATGGGGTTACCTATGCAAGCTATGCCTATTGTCTATATGATACTATTTGAAATGCTCAATCAGGTTCTACCATTCAGGCTAGTCAAGAATTCCTGAAAAATTCATGCATAGTGCTATGCTCATCTATAGTGCTCCAAATGCTTCTAAGTCCTTCTAATGATCCGGTGTTGGCATTCCTTGGCAATGTTTAGCGGTTTAGATGGATGATCCGGCGAGGGGGACCATGGGCAGGTTGGGGGCAGGCAGGATGGGTAGGGTACGAGACCCTGCCCATCCCCCCCCGTGGCCAAGTCCTTGGCCTCTGCCATGGGCAGGGTACGAGACCCCGGCCCCTCCCCTGGCCCCTTGGCCAAGGCCTCCCAGCTACATGGCGGCCACCTTGGGGCCGAGGGTGCGCAGGCGGGCACACCCTGGGCTGGCTCGCCTGCCCACCCTCGTCGCCACTCCAGGCACAGTTATGTTGAAATTATACTTGATGTTTATAACCTGTGATGGTTCATATAAAGGTACCAAGGAGCTGTGGGGATGTATCTCTACAATTCATGCTAACAAACACTTGTTCGGCAACTTTCATTTGTCCACATTTACAGTACATATTGAGCAAAGCTTTAGCCACAAAAATGTTACGATCAAAGCCAGCAGCTTCAGTCTTCTTATGGATATCAATGCCTTGTTGAAGACATGATATTTTGCCTGACGTTGATAATTTTTCACTAGCACAACCTGTATATGCCTTAAGAGCCGCAATGTATGTGATATGGTTCGGTTTACAGTCCATTCTTGCGTACAGATCCATGGCATTTGCCCATTTCCCACTCTCTACATAGCCTAGGATCATACTATTCCAACTAGCAACATTTTTAACTGCCATCTTGTGAAAGACATCAGTAGCCAAGTCCATCCTGCCACAATGTCCATACACGTCAATAAGACATGTCTGTAAAAATGTATTAACATGACATCCCGAATCCTTCACTTGTTTATGAATAGAAAGTCCCATGTTCAGCCACTGTTGCTTTTCTACTTGTTTCTCTCTTACCAACCGCCATAAGTGCTACCATATATGTGAAATTATCTGGTTTGCAGTCCATGGCCGTGAACACATCTAAGGCTTTCAAACATTCCCTATTGTCGACATACCCTTTTATCAGTGAGGACCAGGCCCAGAGATCCCGCTCAGGCATCTCATCGAACACCTGCTCTGCGAGCTCCATGTTCCGGCATGCTCCGTACATTCTGATCAAGGCATGTGCTAAATACTGGTTGATCTGCAGCCTGGTAGCAATCAGTGCTGCATGGATTTGTCTCCCTTTCTAGGTCGTGCATCACTGTGCACTGTTTTATGGCAGCACGAAGTTCTGAGAAAGTTTTCTCCTCCTGCTTTACTTGCTTATGTTGGTTGCTGCTGCTTTACCCAGGGGATTTTGGGAGCCTTGAAACGTCACTCCGCCCTTCTGGCTGGAATTCTATCCCAACAATAGATGATATCCACTTGAATTTTGATACATTGTTGGGCTGTTGACCATATACATCCCATCCTTCTTTGTGTGTCGTGCTTTGCTTGATTATTGCCCTTGCCTTTGAAACGTGATTGTTGCTAGACAAAGTCGGCCTTCCAAGGAAGGTTCAATCTTTGGAAAAGGCGGACGAATAGCCATTCTGTTTTGCATGCCACACGCTATATTACATAGTCAACAAAGAAGGCTGACTTTTTCAACAAAGAAGAACTCCTCTCTCTCTCTCTCTCACCACACACACACATATAAAACCAGAACTCCACACATTCATAACTTCTATCGAGCAGGATCAGTTGGAATCCAATCCATGAACTATATGTATATGGCGTTTCCAAAGAGAGCAACAGTGTCAATACTAGTAGTAGTCTTTCTCTCTTTGATCAGCTCCAGGAATGTTTTGGCATCGCACAGCTACGCAAGAACTTGTCCAAATGCGGAGTCGATTATCAGAGACACGATCAATGAGCACGCTAGCCGGGACCCTACAATCCCCGCGGGACTGATTCGCTTGCACTTCCACGACTGCTTCGTGAACGTAAGCTAGCTACAAGATGAATTCACCAGATTTCTCACCTTGCCTAAATCACTCCAGGGTTGTGATGGTTCCATCCTTCTCGACTCCACTCCAACAGACGGTACCAATGTCGAGAAATTCGCTCCTCCAAACCGGGACTCCGCCCGAGGATTTGAAGTTATCGAGGATGCGAAAAGAAGGCTGGAACAGGCTTGCCCTGGTATAGTTTCCTGTGCCGACACTGTGGCCATCGCCGCAAGAGATTCAACCGTTAAGGTTAGTTCCTGATTCATAGTGGAGTTTTCGCCCCTCCATCAAGCCATCTTTTTCTTCTTCTCCTACTTCTTCTTCTCCTCTCATATTTGGGTCTTGGATTATAGATGGGAGGCCAGCACTACATAGTAGCCACTGGACGTTACGATGGAAGAGTGTCGAGCTTGCAGCTGGCCACAAACATTCCATCACCATCCATGGACGCCTCGACTCTCATCGAAAATTTCAAGAACCAAGGCTTGTCCGTTCAAGACCTTGTCGTTCTGTCAGGTGAGATCACTCGACTTTCTTGCTGGATCCATTCACTCACGATCTCTTTTTAATTTTCCAGGAGCTCACACACTGGGAACCTCCAAATGCAACTTCTTCGCCAGTGGCCGCTTCGACCGCCTCTACAACTTCAGAAACACGAGTAGGGGCGACGAGACGGTAAATCCCGCGTACTTGCAGCACCTCCGCAACAGATGCCCGCGCGAGGGGTCCGCAAACACGGTGGAGCTTGACAAGGGCTCGCAATTCAGCTTTGACAACTCCTACTTCAAGAACTTGGAGCGGAGGAATGGACTTCTCACCTCTGACCAGGTGCTTTTCGAGAGTGAGCGCACGAGTGGACTTGTGCGATCCTACGCGTACAATTCCAGGCAGTTTGCGTCGCATTTTGGGCAATCTATGGTAAGAATGGGAAGCATCGGGTGGAAGACGAAAGAGAATGGGGAGATTAGAACGGTGTGTAATGCCGTGAATGTAAATAAACACAACATGTTGTAAGAAGTTTCGTCATGATTTGGAATATACCTTGTATATACCACCCAAGTACTAAACCCTCGGGTTTAGGGTTTAGGGTTTAGGGTTTACTGTATACAGGTTTTAAAAGATCGAGTGTTTTATTTTGTAAGAAAAAACCTGCTTGAATTTTGATACATTGTTGGGCTGTTGACCATATATATGTTACATAAATCAAAAATTTCCCCATCCTTCTCTGTGTGTCGCGCTTTGCTTGATTATCGCCCCAGTGCCTCTAATGCTTGGTTGACAAGGCGTACCAGTGCTTCCACGTCGCTGAATCCAATGCTGCAAACCTTCTCCAGCGCAGCCACCTTGTCTGGGGTCAGGACTTTGGCCGCAACCACGGCCGCCAGCACACTCTCTGCCTTATTCCAGATATCAAAGGCCTCAAACACGTCTGCGGTCTGGAACAAGGAAGCGAGAGCGTTACATCCATGGCTGGAACTGGAGTGATCCAAATCCAAGCAAGAGAACTGAACTTACATTCCGAACGAAACGAGCAAGCGTTGGCTGGAGTGCCGGAGGTACAGTGCCGGTGCTTTGGATGAGCGGTGACACGGGTCCTTTCCCGGTGCTCGAGAACGTCTTATCGACAGGGGGGAGCATCTGACTGTTGAGGTTGTCGAGGTCGGATGCCGAAGAAGAGGATGGCGACTCTCCTGCAAAGAGGAAACCGGTCACGCACAGAAACGATCCAAACTTTTGTACCCGTTGGAGGAGTCGCCTGGACTGCCGCGGGTGCACGGTGGAGAGCCGAGTGGAGTTCCCGGCGGTCTCGGCTCAGGGACGAGTTCTTTAGCAGCGCCATTCGAAAGCGTGCTACTGCGGCACACTTGTAGGCCAAAAGAGCCCCCGGCATGTCATTTGCACGCTCGTACTGCGATGCACAAAATCTGGAAAAGACGGTGTTGGTTGCTGTCTCTTTGTCAGGGATAGTCTACTCACTTGAACAGATCCGCCGTGTCGTTGTAAAGAGACACGTTCTCCACAAGAGCTCCACCTTGCAAAAACTTGAGAGCTGCCTGTAAATAAATATCCTTCGCAGTTTCGTCCTGAAACGAACGGAAGTGTAAGTATATGTCAGCTAAGAGTGAAAAACTATCGCTCACCTTTAGACGGTCCGCGTGGTGCTTCAAGTTTTTAGCCGCCTTGATAGCATTGTTTGCAAGGGAGTAATCCTTGGCGTCGTGCTTCCCCTCGAGAATTTCAGCCACTCCTTTCTTGCCTGGCTCCTCGGAAGGATTTGTTCTCTGGGCTTCTTTCCCAGACCTCCTATCCCTGTCAGCCTCAACCTTTGCGTACGTCTCAGCCTTGTCAAACTCCTCGTGCTCGCCTTTCAGCGCCTCTGCATTTTTCAACCGACCCTCGGAACTTCTGACGCTTTTCCTGCTGCTCTTGTCCTCCTTTGCTCTGCCTCGTTCTTCCAAACCGTTCGCCCCGGTGGAAAGACGCCTATCCGTGTCCCTGTCGTCTGGAGCTCCCTCCCTATCCTGTTTATCTTCACCGTGCCTGTACCTGTCCTGGTCGCCTGCCTTTTGGTGAGCCTGTTGCTTTTTATCCATATCTTCGTCCCATGAGCTTTGCTCATTAAACTCGTCCCAGTCATTCAAGAGCTTCCCGTGCTCAGGATGACTCCTTCTGGCTTCCTTCTCGGAGAAGTCGCCTGCGTTCCTCGCGTCGTCAGCCCCCCGGCCTTTGAACGTGTCTACAGACTCATAGGATGGCGAGCAGTTCTCCGATCCTTTCTTCTTTCGTGGTTCCACGCCGTCATTGCTGAGCCTCGAAGAAGTCTTCGGTTGGATATCCGCGTGCCTGTCAACCACGCGAACCGCTTTCCCTCTTGTACTACTCTTCTCGGGCTTGAAAAGCTTCGAAGCCTTCCCTGCCTCCTCCCGTTCGCTGTCCTCGTACCTTGCACGCTGGCTGCTTCCTTCCACGTCTTGAACCCTCCTATCCTTTCTGGATTCGTCTGGCTTGTCCTTCCTGCCACCCTTGGCATCAACCGGTCTTTTGCCAGCAGATTTCTCGTGCGACTCAGCATCCTCGTCCGCAAAAGTCTCTTCGTTGGAAATGTCCGCATGGGGGTATCGTCCACGTTGATGTAAACTCCCATCTTCGGGTCTCATCTTCTTGGACATGTGGATCTCTTCACTCAAGGCTCTCTTTTTCTTTTTCGCTTTGTCGTGCGGATCTTTAGATTTTTCTTCTTGAGTCTGAATGTTTTTAGCTAGTCGAGACTCGTCAACTGGAAAACCACAAGTGTAAGAACCAGAGAAGAAAGATATAAAAGAACAGACCTTCAGAATGCTTCTTGGACTTTTCTTTCTTCTTAACGGCATGCTTCGCGGGCTTGACATCTAAAGCACGAGACTTCCCAGGTGCCTCCTCATTGTAATCTGGCCTCGGAGCCTTTTTAGTGTGATTAAGCTTGGAAGACATTTCTGCTACAGGAGGTGGCGGATGTGCGGGGGGAGCCAAAAATTGAACCGCAGGTAAACTAGCACTCGAAATTCCAAGGGCGTTGTAGACAGCATTTGTCGACTCCTCCTCGGAGATTCTGCAGTTGTTCATTCCCGGAGGCCTGGCCAAAATGACGACGCATATAACGAAAAGAAGAAAGCCAAGAAGAGAAAAAGAACTTACAGCCATGTGATCATCTCGCACCGCCACCTATCGGACTGCTTGGGAGGATCCATAGTCGGAGGAAGAAGTCGCCAGGTGTGGCAATCGTCACACTCTACCCAATTCTCGTTAATGATTGCCGGTGGTAGAGGGACAACATCTGGAGGAGCAACCGGCTGTTGGAGTTGGAGAGGCGGTTCCGAGAACTTGATATCAGAGCAATCTGTCATTTCCAAAGGCAAAGGCTCGCTAAAGTCTTTGCTTCTTTTGACTCCCTTTGATTTTCCACCCCTTGCCTTGCCTGAAACCGGGTCCTCCTTAAGGTTGTCCCTCCTGAGAGCTTCAGAAGATAGCTCCGACTTCGTCTGTTGTTTAGCAGACTTCTCCTTTTTCTTCTCGTCCTTCGACTTTGGTGGCTTGTCCTCAGCCCGAGACTTCTTCCCTTCTTTACTTGCACTCGCTTCCATTCCTGATGAGCTGTTTACTTTCGGCCTCTTCTTGGCTCTCTTCTCGGACTCGTTTTCTTTTTGTTTTCTTTTTTCCGGATGTGCTTCCTTGGGCACTTCCGGAACAGATGCCTCATCGCGTTGTAACTTCGTCGTAGGCACATCCTTGACAGAAAGAAGTTCCTTTACAGGAGCATAGTCTTTTCTCGATGTAGCCTTGTCTTCTGCTGCAAGATCACAAACTTCCTTCGCTGGCATCTTCTGTTCCTCCGCCCTTGCAGGAATAGAAACAAACTTCCATGCTTCGTCCTGGCTTTTGACCTTGATCTTCTCCTTCCTCACCTCTTGCACCTCTTGCTTAACCTGCGCCTGCCTACGATCCAACTCCATGTCCTTTCTGCCACTGTCCTCTGATAAGTCCTTCAAGTTGTCATCTTCCATTTTCGTGATTCTAGACTGCCTACGTTCTTTTGTCTTGGTCGAGCCACTGTCGGCCACCTTTATGGATCTTCCGACTGGCCTGAGCGTAAGATCGGGCAAAGGTGATAAAAGTCCATCCGGAGGAAGCCGATGTGATAGAATGATCTGCAAGGCAGCGTAAAACATAAATGAAGACATGAACAACAGTAGATAAGGATGGAAAAAAACAACTTTTACCTGTATCATGGATGCAGGGCTTCGGTCGGGGCTGGACTCGGGTCCAGACAAATCGTCGTCTTCGCCTTCGGAAGCCGAAGGCGAAGAGAAACCGAGCCTGTTGTATATAGCAGCATTCCTGCCCCGACCTTCGCTCCCCATCTTTATTCTCAGGGTGATCGAAGACTTCACTTCAGTACCAGTAGAGTCGGGGATTAGCTTGGGCTTTGCGGACGGAGAGGCATGCTGATCAGTTGCCATGTCCGAAACAATCGTGGTGGTAGCCTGCTTCGCCACCTAGAAATCATCAAACTCTATCACTGACCACGACAACAAAATGCAGTTCTTACTTCCAAGTTGGTGATCCCTGGCGGTCTGCAAGGCGTAAGAGGTGACAATCTTCGTCCAGCGGCAGCTGCCGGAGGTGGAACCGCGGGTACTGTTGGTAGGAAAGTTCCATAGCCTCCATACTTCGATCCTGCATTGCAAACCATGTCAAACGTTGGTGTCGGTGGTGCTAGGAGGGAGAGAGCGAGGAGCCTACCCAATTTCTCCGGGTAGTAGCCACCTTCGAAATCCTTGCGGGCGTGACCCAGAAACTCCGCCAGCTTGTGCTCCTGCAAGAGCAAGAGAGAAACCTTGGCGTCTCAAAAACGCACAGAAGAAAGCACTCCAAGGAGTGAAGGAAAGTTTTTCTGGCAAACGTACAAGGTGTGGGAAGCAAAGGTCGGAACCGTAATTGGAATCGTTGGCATCGCAGGCCTCGCCTTCCTCGAGCTCCTCGTTGCCTTCCATGGCAGCTAACACATCCCTTTTGTACCCAGCTGATACCTGTAATGCCATTGCGTCGTCACATCCTCCCCGCCGCGATCGATCGAGCGACGCCTCTATCCGCCCCTCCCTGCTCCCTGGGGTCTGCTGTCAATCCTCCCAAAAACCCCCCTCGGCAATCCACAGCGCCCAAGCCTAATCCAAGAGCTCCTATCTGTCCTAGAAATCGTCCTAAACCACGATCCAATTCTGGAATTCCCTGCTCTGGAGCGCCAATTCCCTGGGAATTCGCGGGAATCAGCAGCAGCGTCCGCTGATCCAGCGCGCGGCGCCGCTCGCCCCCGTCATCGCATCGCTCGCGCTTCCCTGCGCCGCCCTGGCGGAGACAATACACACGGAAACTCAACCCTTGCCCCCGCTTAGTCCTAATCTCCTCCCAGCTAATGGTAATTTTACCAGCCACGTGGCAGTCCCCGGTTCGAATCCCGGCTCCATTCTAGGGCAGGGCTTTAGCAGAGGTTTTTGTGCTTGGCCGATGCGCGGCCATGGCGCTGCGCGGCTCCACCAACGATGTGTCAATCCACGACATTAAAGGTAGCGGATGATCCATCCATCCATCCTCACAGCTTTTGGTTTTCTTTTCCATTCTTCTCCAGAGGGATTTGATGTGGAGAAGCTCAAGACAAATGTAGCCAAAGCCTATCTAACATACCACGAGATTCCGGACGTGGGGCTCAAGCACGAACTCCTCCGCCGCATCCGTGACCATATCAAGTAAGCACTGGCCTCCTTGTTTGCGAATTGGCCCGATCGAATGCAGGTACCGAAAGTGTGGAACTCTCAGGGACTCATATCCCCCTTCTTCCTTTGTTCTTCCCTGTGATGGAGGTATATCAGCATTGTAGTTTTCGCTAGAACTAAAGCTCTCTTTTTTTTGCAAAGTTGTGTGTCCGGACGATGTCATCCTCTTTAAAAGTTCCATGTACGTTTATGCGCGAGTCTACTTCTTTTAAAAACTCTTATCTGTTTGTTCCTGTGTATGTGTTGTTCCAGGAACTCGACGGTTGCGGCCCGTGTTCTTTCTGTGTCCCGCCAATGCCGCAAGTTTACGGTGAGAAACTTATCACACGCTTGTCTTGAGATTGAAGCTTTTCGTTATCGCTGCAGTTGGACGTTTTATGGAGCGAAGGAATGGCACCATACAAAGCTTTCCACCACTATTCTTTTCCCTGGCAAAAGATCGGCCAGCTCCAAAGCACTCGACAAGTAAGTCAGGTGTGTTTTCGCTTGACGGAGAAGTTAACTATCTTCTTTCCAGCCGGCAGAGGACGAAGATCTCAGGAAAAGTACTCGTTTTGAGGTCAATAGGCACATGAGACGCTAATTAAGTCTTTCAGGGAATGCAAAGTCGATTCAATCACAGTTTTTAAAACTAGCAGAGCAAGAAAAGGCATCTGATTTAACCAGGAAACAGCTTAGACCAGGTCTGTAGTGCTCGCAATTATTCTCCTGAACACGATTTATACGCAGAACGAGTCCGCAACAAAGCCAAGAACTCCACTGCCCGTGACGAGCAACATTCCAGGGGTGATGGTAATTTGTTCTCTCCAATTCCTCCCGTTTTTTGGTGTTCTACCAATTTCACGGACTACAGGTGCAGGCCCTTCCACAGCGATAGTAGCACACGTAGCGCAAAGGGAAGGAGCGAGCACTAATGCAGGTTCACGCGTGTGCTTTACTATAATACAGTTGTTTTCTCATACTGGCAACAGATCCTTTGACTGCGGCGTATCCTTCAAGTGGCGAGGAACTGGAAGGTGCTTATTTTCTTTATGGAGTTCGACCAAACTAACTTCTTGTGGCAGATGACGGTGACCCTGGCCTTGTCCTCGACTCTGGCGACCGCCAACCCCTTGAAGCCGAAAGAAGGACTGACGTGGAAAAGAGAAGGCTGGATCAAGAAGCTGGAAGTACGTGTATCAAACTTCTTGGATTTTGAAATTTTATCGGGGTCCTTTTTGGTAGACGCCTGTGTTCCCTGCTATGGCGACGACGGAGCGGCTGTCCAGAACCTCGAAGGCGAAGAGAGGAGGAATCAGGACGCTGAAAGTACGTGTCTCTTAAAAGGTTCTGAGTTTCGACTAATTTGTGGAAGTAGCTGCAGCTAGCGGACATGGCAAAAGGAGAAGACTTGACGATGGAAACGAGATGTACACCGGTCGGGTTCTCAACTTCGACGACAGTGAACCGGTTGATAAAAATCTTAAAGTTGAAGGCAGAAAGAGAATTCTACCTGAAAGTACGTGTAGTTGGAATGTTTTCAGCCCCGGCTAATTTGTGCTCAGGTGAAGCTCGGTCGGAACTACACATGGTTTCTATTGAAGACGAAAAGACAATGCGGGCTAGAGGTACGTCTTGCATTTAGTTAGACATAGTCCTTATCGTTCTTGCAATAATAGATGGAAACGAGATGTACACCGGTCGGGTTCTCAACTTCGACGACAATGAACCGGTTGATCAAAATCTTAAAGCTGAAGGCAGAAAGAGAAATCTTCCTGAAAGTATGTGTAGTTGGAATGTTTTCAGCTCCGGCTAACTTGTGCACAGGTGAAGCTCAACTACACATGGTTTCTAATGAAGACAAAAAGACAATGCGGGCTAGAGGTACGTCTTTCATTAGACATGCTTCTGATCGTTCTTTTGCAATAGTAGGAAACGAGATGTACACCGGCCGCATACTCAACTTCGACGACAATGAACCGGTCGTGCTGAACCTTGAAGGTGAAGGAGCCAAATGTACGTAGAGCGTTAGTTATACTGTTGATCCCCAACTAACTGATCGCATGGAAGCAGCTGAAACTCCCCGTGAAGTCTGCTCTGAAGGCAGAAAAAGGAAGCGCGACAAAGAATTAAATTGTAAGTGATATCTTCATGTGAGTTTCTTACTATTGAGTTTGGTCGTTCTTGTGGCAGATGGGAGCGAGATGTACACCGAACCAATCGATCGGAACATTGGAGCTGAACGCAGGAAAAGAAAGAAAAAGGCGGAATGTACGTGAAGCCTGAAATTTCTGTTGTCAATCTTTAATTAACTTACCCGTGGAAAAGCAGCTGAAGGTCCCCGACATTCACCGCTAGAAGGCAAAAGGAGAAAGCGGAACAACGAGAGTAAGCCATATGTTTTTGCTGGACCCGCATTGAGCTTTCTTGTTCTTATGACAGGTGGGAGGGAGATGTACAGTGGCCGTATCCTCCACTTTGGCGATAGCGAACGAGTCGTCCAAAACTTTGAGGTTGTAGGCAGAAATCAAGAAGGTGGAACTTGAACATTTTATAGTCGAACTTGAAACTAATTTATTATAGTCGATGCAGCTGAAGGTCCCCGACAGTCGGGCAAAAGGAAAAAGCTGTCCAAAGAACCCATAAGTAAGTTATGAGTTCAGCGTTCTTGGTAGCGCTCATGTTATTCGTCTTTGAAGCAGATCACAGCCATATGTACACTGGCCGCGTTATCAACTTTACTGACAGTGAACCGGGTGTCGAAATTAAAGGCAGAAGGAGAAATCAGTCATTTGAAAGTACGTGCTGAATATTTTCCCATCAAGCTAACTTGCGTGCGTGTTGTGGCACCAGCTCAATCGAACCAAGAAACACATGGAAGCAAAAGCAAAAGACGGGACCAAGATGCCAAGAGTATGTCGTTTTGTAACTTCGTAGATTTTCTTCTGATCTATTTTGCATGCACGCAGGCGAGCAGGAGCACGCGCGGCACAAAGGTTTTAATCTCAGATTTGGTTGTTCTTTGTGTGTTGGGTCTCACTCGCTTTCTTTAGGCAAAACGAAGAAGCTGAACCGAAAGGGCGAAAGTACGTCAACGTTTTGCATTGTTTCCTTCTGACTTTGTATTCGCACAGGCGAGGAACGAAACACCTATACCGCCGGCCACAAAGGTTTGTGTTTCTTTTTATTTGTTCTGTAAAGACGAGAATGTTTTTGTGTCTCAGTTGACAACTCGTTCGAAGCACCAGTACCAGCTCCGAAGCCTCGCAAAAAGAAAGGTATGCCTTTCTGTGCTGTACTGAAGCTTTCTTCTTTGACATGGTCATCTCAATACAAACAAGCTTTATCCAACAAGCCAGTTGATGGTACGTTCCTTGTCAAACGCATTACGGCCTTTGTAACTCTTCTGTATGGACAGGCCCCAGATCTACGCCGTTGTACAAGCAGAGGCCTGACTGGGAGAAGAAATGGAATCCCCAGTGCCATGTCAAGTGCGTGGGCTGCAACAAAAACAACGCTTCCAAGATCTGTGTCGAAAAGCGATGCTGCTACTGTTGTAAGTCGTCCAGGTAGGATTGATATTCACAGTTTTGCCGAGACAGTATAACTTAAAAATCGTTTTTTATTTTACAGATGTGGTCGGCATACGTCCCGCAGAAAAGTATAGATGGAGAGCTATCAGCAAAGACCAGTTTTTTCTTCGCTATTTACGTGAAGCCAGTTCCAGTACTGCTCCAGCATCGCGTCATCGGGTATCACCTCTTTCCAGCGGCCCTCCACAAAGATCATATAAGCATCCTCGGCGTACGTTCCAACACCGTGAAGCTGAGAGATGTCCGTCCAGTCGGTGTAGAGATACTCGTGCGAGAAGCGCTTAATCAGCTCGAGACGCTTCTTGTGCAAGCCAAGCGGCTTGATGAGCGGCTCGACCATCTCGGCTGGAGCATCGATCAAGTGTTGAGGACCGGGAAAGAGCTTGAAGAAATCCCACAGCATTTTTTTGGTCTGCGTGGAAGGCCTTGGCACTTTAGCGAGAAGATAAGAGACTTACCTGAGCTCCGGTGGTTCTATGGAGGAAGATGCAAGCCATGACCACTTTCCAAGGATCGTGGAAGAGCTTCTCCTGGATGAGCTTGTGAGGGGAGCGAGGAGGAATCCAAGCCGGGAGGGGAAAATTCGTCCTTGGGCACTCCAGCAGCGACAGATTCTTGCGTAGCCGACGCTTCCTCTTTTCAAACTCGGCCTTCTTCTCTTCCACCCGGAACTTATCCGCGACTCGCCAAGACGTTTGCTGGATAGACGCGATGATCTCTCGGTGGCTCTTCCCCTCGTGAGCAATCCATGGCGAAGAAGGCCTCTTGTTCTTCCTGGCTTTCTTGCTGAAGTCGGGCTTGGGGAAGTATGGAGTGGTGATGTAGTAGCACTGCTCCTCCTTGTTCCAGGTGCGTCGCATCTTCTTGGAGGAGCGAGAAGTGGCCTTGCCCAGCAATTCGGCTTGCTGGATCTTCCTTTCCAGAATGCTCATCTCCTTCCTTGGAGCTGGATCATCCTGCCTCTTGCTCGTGTGCACGAACTGGGCTAGCATCTCCGTGAACTTTCGAGCATCTAGTGCTGGAACTGGACGATCTTTCCCTTCCTCGCGGTGGATCGGCGGTGCCGGCAGCTCAATCGCCCGAAGCCGGCGACTCGAGCAAGCTCCACACAAGGACGAAGAAGAGGAGGACGAAGAAGACCAAGAGGAGTCTTCATCGCTCTGCGAGGAGAAAAGGAAAGAATGAGAGATTTCTTCGCAGATGAGATGAGATTTCTTACATTTCTCCTCTTCCCCATCGCAAGCGCGCCTGGATCGATCACGCGCGCCTCCACATTTCCACGCTGCGGCGCGCCATTCATGCATGACACCAAAGCCCTTAGGGTTCTTAGCTAGGGTTTCGGAATCCCGAGGAGGACAATGGCGAAGCAGCGACTGGAGCTCGCGATTTGGATTCCGGCGGGCTAAGCAGGCAAGCGCTCAGCTATGAGGATTGGCGTGCCCAGCGGCAGCTACATTTCCTTGCTGGCGCCAGCGCTACTCGTCTCAATTGGCTCCATCGACCCGGGGAATTGGGCCACCTCCATCGAGGGAGGCTCGCGCTTCGGCTATGAGCTCGTCTGGGTCGTCTTTCTCGCCAATCTCATCGCGCTGCTGCTCCGCTCGCTGGCCACGCATCTCAATCTCGTCAGCGGCAAGCATCTAGCTCAGGTACTTGGGAAGCTCTTTCAGTCGAGAAAGATTTCTCCTTCTTTTTGTGTCTTTCACTTTCTTTCTCGATCGATCGAGCGCTTCGCTAACTTGGTCTTCTCAAAGGCTTGTCACGATGAGTATCCCAGCGGCGTGTGTCTGCTACTCCTCTTCTTGTCAGAGCTGTCGCTGGTAGTTCTCGACAGTGCCATGGTACGTAAAGTTTGGAACTTCTTTGCTCCGAGACAGCGAGTAATGCTCGGATCTTCTTGTTTCCAGGTCCTCAGTAGCGCAGTGGGACTTAATATGGTGCTCGGGCTTCCCGTGCTTGTGGGGGCGCTGCTAGTTGCTCTAGACGTGTTTTTCCTGATGGGATTTGTGCCTTTTCTGGTGCGTAGATCTTTTCTCTTCCAAAACTTTTTTGCGCTGACACGCCGCGTTATGGTTCTTCGCAGGGCCCCGGAAAGGCCGAAGTTATCCTCGGCGTCATCGTGTTGTCCATGGTACTCGTTTTTGTGCTGAATGCATTTGTGAGCAGGCCTCCAGTGGTGCCCATCCTGGGAGGGCTGTGGCCCAGGCTTAAAAGTGACAGCCTTTACGCTGTCGTTGGTCTCCTGGGAGCTAATATCATGCCCCACAATCTTTATCTTAACTCCGCACTGGGCCAGGTACGCTCTCGAGTGAAAACAGAGAAAAGAGAGAGAGAGAGAATGAAGAAAGGAGTATCTAAGCTTGCTCATGTTATTCCCTTGTCTTGTCGCAGGAGCAGCGAAAGCCCGACCGGATTTGCTGTGCTCCCACTATCCTTGACTTTATACTGACTGCCGGAATGCCTGCCGCTATCAATTTGGCTGTTATGGTAGTAGCGGCATCAACTTTCCACAGTGCGGGCTTTGCCGTCCTTACGCTTCAGGACGGCTGCGTTGTTATGGAACAGGTATGCATGCTATGACAGATGCTCTTGTGACACCTTTCTTACTTTCTCTTGTATCTTTTTACTTCCAGGCTCTGAGCCGGTCGGTGGCGCCTCTGGCTTTCGGCTCAGCTCTGCTTGCTGCTGGAGTTTTCTCGACACTAACAGGGACGTTGGTCAGCCAGGTTGCTAGTGAGGGACTTCTCGGGAAACGTATCGACGCATGGCGTCACCGGCTTGTGATGCGAGCGGCAGCAGTGACCATCGCAGTTTTTTGCGCCTGGTCGTATGGCAACGAGGGGATTTACCAGCTGCTCGTCTTATCTCAGGTTATACTCGCTCTTCAGCTTCCTTTCACACTGGTTCCTCTCATTCGGCTAACGTCGTCTGCGGCTTACATGGGGAAGAACAAGATCTCTTCACTTTGGGAAGTGCTCGCGTGGTCAGTATTGGCTTTCGTGATATCACTCAACCTCTGCTTGGTGTTTAGTACGCTCTTTAGCCAGAGCGAGGAGTTCGGGGGGTCTACAAACTGGGAGTTTGTGGCTGGTTCTGATTCCAACTCTCTGACCGTGCCAGTCGCTCTCACGGTGGTGACTGCTGCGGTCGGCTTTCTAGTCTGGCTCATCTTTGCTCCGATCAGGTCCGACACTCCGGCTTTCGCTGTTGAAGAGAAAGATGGTCAGCTCATGGACAAGGAGAAGGATCTAGTGTATTACATTCCTTTGGATGGCAACAGTTCCAGGAGTAGTGATGTAGGAACCGTCGAGGACATCATCAACACTGAAAGAGCCGAGCTGATATCGGAGAGTGAGGTCGGGACTGTGACTGTGGTGGAGTCTGAAGCCGATGAGTGCCTGCCAGTGTTACAGCAAAGTAAAGTTGACGCCAGCCATCTCAGCGACAGTGTACGTGAAGATACAGGTGAAGAGGAAGCCAGCATTACCGCAACTTCCAACAGCTCCGATGTTGGTACTGAAGAATGCCCGTCCTCGCGTGTTGATCACCATCATATCGACCATCATATCGAGCCCGAGCCAACTTCTGTTCCAACTAACGACAACGTTCCATACAGTAGCGGCGAAACAAGTGCAGTAGCCTCCTCTGAAATTGGCGGACTAGACAAGGACGCTATTTCCCTGGAGAAGGACGATGAAGAAGCCGAAAGCTGGGAGAATCTCGAGCAGGACTGCGCGGTTATGAGCTCAGCTCTGAGCTTAACTTACGAAGGGATTGAATCAGTAATAAGTACCAGGAAGGAGTCGAGCGACGGATGCTCGCATGGAAGCGAAAGCGGAAGCCTCTCGAGGTTGTCTGGACTGGGCCGTGCATCACGAAGACAATTTGCTGCTACTCTGGATGAGTTTTGGGGACGACTGTTCGACTTACACGGCCAACCCGTCAGGTCCGACTCGGTGATCAAACCAAGCGTCTCTCAGAACAGCCGGACGACGCACTCCGACAATGGTCCATTCGTCTCTCCGCGACAAGCTGCCAAGCGGGACTACAAGAGTTGCTTTTCCGGCTCCGTGGATCCCTTTGGACGGGTGCACTCCAACTTGGCCGCTTCTACGTCGTCCCAGAGCCCGAGCAACAGGTGGTGCTTCGACTACAAAAGTGGCTACTCAGGTGGCGACCAGCGGTACTCGAGTTTGCGAAGCTTTGCAGCTCACGAAGATCTGGACTGCCAACCAGCGACAATTCACGGGTACAACATCGCTTCCTACACTAGGCCAGGCAGCGTGGAGCAGCAGTCAAGCGCTCGAGCACGCTCGTCCCTGCATTTGGACGTGGCTTCGCGTACAGGTGGCTGCCTTTCCCAAGTCCCCGCTTCTTATTACGCCAAGTCAAACTTTGATCAGTCCGACACCATGACTCGTGTCTTTCAGCCAACGCAAGACATGTTCTCGGCTTCCAAAGGTGGTCAACGAGGCGTTGATGATACGTCGTCCTGGCTACCAAGGTCCACGGACTACGAGCAGTGGAGCTCCTTCTCGAACAACTCGGTAGACAAGTGGAATCCACTCGTATACAGGGCTACCGGGGAGCTGGACAAGTCCCTGCTCTCGCATCCCATTGGGAGATCGGAGAACTCGGAGAGAACAACCTTGTCCTTCGACGACATCTCTCCATCGCAAACACACAGAGACGGCTTCTCGATACAGGCTGCTGCGCAACAGACCGAGTCACTGTGGTCGAGACCAGTCGAGCACCTCTTTGGAGCTCCCGGCGAGCAGAAGTCCGTGGCTACGACGAACAACGCAAACAACAACACCAAGGCATTCCGACTCTCCACCGGGGTTGAGTTCGGGCTTGACACTTTGGAGCAGCTGCGCCTGTGCGTGAGGAAACTGCTACAGCAGGAAGGATCCGAGTGGCTGTTCCAGATCGACAATGGCTGCGACGAAGATGTCATTGCCGGTGTCGCTGCTCGAGAAAAGTCCCTGCTCGACTTGTCGGAGCCTGGGGAGGCCGCCAGTGTATATAGCAACGGGACGTCCATCTGGAGCGTCAACAAGGTGGTGGTGCCCGGGGTGCCGCACTGTGGCGACTCCTGCGTCTGGGGAAGCGGCCTCCTCGTCAGCTTCGGAGTGTGGTGTGTGCATCGTGTGCTGGAGCTGGCACTCATGGAGAGCAGGCCCGAGCTGTGGGGGAAGTACACTTACGTACTCAATCGTCTCCAGGTACTCCTTGCTTTCTTATTTTCCAGTTCTTCGTTTCTCATTCATCCATCGCTCTTGGTGCTTACAGGGAATTCTGGATCCTGCGTTTCTAAGTCCGAGAACCGTGCTGCCACCGTGCATATGCCTGCAGGGGTATCAACTCGTTGGCAGGCGCAACGATGCGGCTGGCTGGTCGTCGTATCCATTCCCCTGGCCGTGGGGGCGGAACACAAGCAATCCCAGTGGAAAGGCCGCGAGCGGCAACCTCTACCTGGACATGATCAAGGAGGTGGAGACGGCCGTCGGAGCGAGGAAGGGAAGAACAGGGACTGCTGCTGGAGACGTCGCCTTTCCGAAAGGGAAGGAGAACCTTGCATCGGTGTTGAAGCGGTACAAGCGTCGGCTTGGAAACCACAAGAGTGGCAGCTGCAATCGAAGGTGACGCTCTATACTCTCTCTTTTCTTCTTCCTCTGCTTGTTCTTCGTTCTTTTTTCGCTCGAGCTTCTTTTTTTCCCTCCATATAATGTTGATGGGCTCCCTTTTCGCATGAAATATAGTTCCAGTTTTCGAGCTCTCCATAGCTCTTCCTGCAATGCAGCCATGGCCGGTGGCTTCATTCCATCACTCGAGCAATGCAAGTGTGAGATATATCGTGCTCGTCCTTTCGTGCACAGATATAGACGAGGCAAGGAGAATCCATGCTAGTGGTTTGGAAGACGATCTCTACGTTGCTAGCAACCTTGTCACGGTCTACTCCAGGTGTGGCAGTCTCGTGGACGCCAGCAAAGTGTTCCACAAGATGAAGCACCGCGACGCCATTGCATGGAATGCGCTCATTCGAGCTTATGCTGTGAGCGGGCATTTTTCCGAAAGAGCTTTTCCTTGCCATGGAAGTGGAGTGCATGGCGAATGGTCGCACTTTCGTCACCCGTCACGAGCCTTGCTGCGGAAGGAGCAAATCCCTGGAAGATGACAAGCTTGGAGAGAGGAATGGCGATTCATGCTCGATCTCGAATGCAAAGCCTCATCTCGAGGGATTTTTACGTTGGAAGCAGCCTCATCGACATGTACTCCAAGTGTGGGAGCATGCAAGACGCAAGGCGAGCCTTCGAAGAGATGGACGTGGTTTCATGGAACACGCTGATGCTGGGATATGCTGACGAGAGTGGAGTCTCCCTCCTGACTATATCGTTCCAGTAGAGCATTCCAGCTTACCAAGTTCTTCTTCAAGGACGTGGAGTCGAAAACATGCTGAGCGGCAGCCATGTTGCCACATTTGCCATAGAGATCGAGCAAACAAGTGAGCATGCCTGTGAATCTCGCGGTGGATCGTTTTTCCAAGTTGCAACGAAGAAGGATCACACAGGCCTTGAGTGCACAGGAGCACGTCCAAAGATCTGGCCTGCATCGCCGATCACCAGACACCATCTCCTGGTATAACTCTTTCAACATACCCAAGAAGCATAGTGTTCCATGAAACATAGTCCTGGAGACGCTCTTGAATGTCAGTGCGTGCGTCCACCAAGCTACCACACTTGGAATACATGTCAACCACGCAGTTTGCAACATTAACATCTGCCCCCTTGCGTGCAGTGCCATCATCTTGACAAGTTTTCCTCTATTGCCGAGCTCACATCCATCTTCCTTTCTCGCAAGGTTAGAGCAAGCTTTCAGTGTTGCAATGAAAGTCCAAGAGTTCGATGCTGCACATGAGGAAACGTGAGAGCCAGACTCTGAGAGACTCAAACAGCTCCAGAGCAATCTCACCTTGATCGTCGTGTTTGAAGAGTTTTATCAACTGTTAGATGCAGGCTTGAAGCCAGACAGTGCAACCTTCTTGTCCATTCTCGCTGTGTGCAACCACTGCGGCCTCGTCAAGGAGGGGAAGCTTAGGTTCCGGCTTATGTCTTCCTGGTATGAAGTCCTGCCAAGCACGGCTCATTACCATTGTGTCATTGATCTTCTTGCCAGGGCGGATGAGCTTGACGAGGCCATGATCATGATGGAAGAGATGCCTGTCGAAGCTGATAATATAACATGGAAAATTCTCTCGCAAACTAGCAATAAGATTGATCACGCACGGACGGAGTGCAAGCACGTCCACTCCAAAGTTCCGGGAAAAAATGGCATTGTGTGGATGAGCTCTCTGGCATCGTCCAAGTAGCCCGACCTGGCTAGGTTTGCTGCGAAGAACACCTGAAATGCCTCAAGCATATGTCCGTTTACAGCATAAGTGGAGAGAAGCTGGCTGACGGAGATGAGATCGGTCTCGGGCATTTGGTTTAGCATCCTCGAAGCAAGTTCCAGGTTCCCGTCTTGGATCAAGGCACCTAAAGCCGTAGTCCATGAAATAATGTTTCGAGCCGGCATTTGGTGGAAGACGTCGATCACTTCAGAAACGTGGCTGTTTCGAGCGTATGATGCCAGGTTCTGGTTTTCTGTGAAACAAGCTGTCGGTCTGCTCTGTCGAATCTCCACGGCTGTAAACCGAAAGAAGTGCGTTCCAGGTCACAGTGCTCCACTCGGGCATGGAGTCAAAGGTACACTTTGATAACTTCAGATGGCCGTTTCGAGCGTGAGCTGCTAGCAAAGAAGTCCAGGAGATAAGGTTAGTTTCTGGCATTTCGTTGAAGAGTGGTCAGACGAATGTAGCCGTGGTCCTTCTGCTAATATTGTGTTGCACGAGGTCAAACTCCTCTCGGGCATTCTGGAGAAAGTTGCTAGAGCCAGTTCCATAAACCCGTTTTGGGCACAGGTAGCGTTCCAGGCAACAATGTCGTGTTTGGGCATCTCTTCGAAAACAACCGTCCAAGATACCATGTCGGTCTCAGGGGACTCAAGAAACATAAGTTTTGTGTCAAGCAAATGTGCAACCAGCATCAACGTCCAGGGGAAGAGATTTCTCAGGGGCATCATGTCAAAGACCTCCTTGGCTTCCTTTCTCTTGGCATACGCAGCTAGCATAGCAGTCCAGGAGACAATGCCCCTGTATGACATTGGAGTAAAAAGGAGCTTAGCCTTCTTTATATACTCGTTGTGGATATAACTGTAAATCATAAAGTGCCAGTCCCATCTTAAAAGACTGGCATGGGAATAAGTATATTAATTAAGGTTTAAATGGATGTGTGAGTGCATGGAATATGGAAAGGGAATACAGAAATGTGCATCTCAATTAGCCCAAAAACCCTAGCTTATATACAGGAGCGAGTGGTCCGGATTGAAACCAATCCGACGACTACCAAAATCCACTACGCTAATATTAGTATACGGCATCGTAGCCGTACACTTGGCCCTCACATCATCCCCTCCTCTCTGAATAATGGAAGGCCGTCAAAGTTCTCTTGTAGATGGGCCGGGATCTGGAGGAACGTCAGGAGGAGGCATCGGTGGATCTGTAGACAGTATTAACTGCTCCTGATCCCTTTGTATGAAGCGTTTTAACTGCTACACATGCACAATCTCCGGAGGATCGGCCTGCTGAATGTTATGCCGAACCTCATAAACTTGTGGTCCAACTTGCCGCAACACCCGATACGGTCCTTTCCACTGCGCAAGGAGCCCCTTAGATAAACCACGTACCGTAAGATGGGGAAAACGGACTAACATCAAATCATCCACTTTGTACTCCGCAGGTGGACGATGATGGGAATTGTAGTGCCGTTGTTGTCCCACTTGTACGCGGCTTAAGTGTTCAACAGACTCTGCTCGGACAAGTGGAAGAATGCTTGTCAAATATTGATCCCATGACCTAGCATCAGGAGCTCGTGGCAATCGCAAAGGTAAACCCAGCTCTGTTGGTAATATTGGATCATGACCATATAGAAGTTTATATGGTGAAGCACCAATAGAACTCTGCACCCCTGTGACATAAGCATACTGAAGAGACGGCAAATAACCATCCCAATCCGAATGTTGAAAGTTCACATACTTCGCAATCATCCCTTTGAATGTCCGAACGAGCCGTTCCACCAGATCGTCTGATTGTGGATGATAAGCACTCGTAAAAGTGTGGCGTATCCCCAACCGAGATGTCAAAACATGAAATACCTCAGCCATAAATGCAGGACCATTATCCGAAAGAATCCGCTCTGGACAAGAATGCTGGAACACCACTCGATTGAGGAGGAAGTATCCAACAGCAATTGCAGAGGCACTAGCAAGAGCACCAACTTCCACCCAACGAGTCAAGTAGTCAGAAGCAATAATAACATACTCATTGCCAGCAGTTGATCGCGGAAAAGGTCCCATAAGATCAAACGCCACCAACTCAAACGGACGAGAAACTGCAATTGACTCCAACCATCCTTCCGCAGCACAAGGGGGAGTATTACGAGCTTGACACCAAACGCAGCTACGCACATACCGGATAATATCACGTCGCATCTCTGGCCAATAGAAAGATCTGCGCAGCTTCTCGGTGACACGACGGTGTCCCATATGCCCACCTAGAATAGGAGAATCATGGTAGGCATGGAGAAACCGCGGAATAAACACCGAAGGCACCACTAGCCGTAAATGATCATCAGGATCCGTCCCCACAAAATAAAGAAGGCCATCTTCAAGGCGATATTGAGAATGTAAATGCCGAAAAGGCAAGTCATCAGCAAGTGATGCAGGATTCTCAAACCCATCTCGAAGCCTTCGAATCCACGGCTCAATCTTTTGAGCCTCGCGAACCTCATCCAGAGAAGGTAGATCTTGCTCTACGCCCTGTGGACACTGAACGTCAAGGACAGCAACCGCCGACGGCACAGAATCCTCATCTAGAAAATCCACAGATGCTGGAACAACAGGTTCGTCATAAACATGAGAATGGAGTGGAGAAGGAAGAGGAGCTCGAGAAAGGGCATCAGCATTAGCCATTGAACTCCCTGGGCAATGAACAACATCGAAATCATATATCTGAAGCTTCAAAGCCCATCGAGCCGTACGACCAACCAGGTTCTTCCGTTTCAATAATGAAGTAACAGCAGCATGGTCACCTTCAAGTAACGTCCAAGAACCATATAGATATGCATGAAGTTTCTCGAAACCCCAGACTGCTGCTAAACACTCCTTCTCCGTCGTGGAGTAGTTCATCTCCACTTGTTGTAATGTACGGCTTATGTATGCAATGGGATGGCGCTGACCAGGCACACTCGAGCTCTCTTGCATCAACACACCTCCAAGACCAATGTCAGAAGCATCCACGCGCAAAATAAAAGGTCGAGTGTAGTCAGGATATGCCAAAACCGGAGGAGTCGTCAATAGCTCTTTGAGATTCACGAATGCCCGCTCACAATCAGGAGACCAGATGAAAGATGACGTTGATGACTTCAGCAACGCTCGCAATGGTGTAGTGCGATCGGAAAGATGATCCACAAAACGACCGAGATACTGCACCTTACCCAAAAAGCGCCCCAAAAAGCGCTGCACATCATTCACACACTTCGGAGTAGGGAACTTTAAAACAGCCACAAGTTTGTCAGGATCAACTTGCAAACCCTCACGAGAAATACGGTACCCAAGATAAGTTGTGTCCTTGGACCCAAACACGCACTTCAACCGCTTCAGCTTTAAACCAACGTCGCGTAGCCGATCCAACACTTTACAAACATCACGAACATGCTCCTCCCAGGTCCCCTCCGAGTGGATCAAAACATCATCAATGAAGTCAGCCGTCACCTCCGGCATATCGCAAAGAACCTCGTCCATCATCCGCTGAAAAGTTGCTGGAGCATTGTTCAAACCAAACGGCATCACCAAAAACTCGTACAAACCAAATGGTGTACGAAAAGCAGTCTTAGGAATATCTTCTTCAGCCATCGGTACTTGCCAATACCCAGAAGCAAGATCTAGCTTGGTGAACCAACGACTTCGCTCCAGACGATCCAAGAGATCAGCAGTGTGAGGAAGAGGGTACACGTCCGGGATCGTCACTTCATTTAACGGACGATAGTCGATGCAGAAACGAATACTCCCATCAGGCTTTGTCACAAGATGAGGTTCACATGCCCAAGGACTCCGCGACTTCCGAATAACACCCTTCTCCAACATCTCCTTAACGTTTGCACGTAAAATCTTGATTTCCTTGGGTGACCGACGACGAACAGGAACCTTGATTGGACGAGCATCCCCAGTTGGAATGGGATGACGTGTGGCAATCTTGGCCCCAGACGATAGGTCAAATTCAAAGAGATCAGAATACTCCTTCATGAGCTGGTCAACAGCTGCAACACAAAGATCATTGGAGGGATTGGAAAAGGGAAGAGCAGAACAAGATGGAAACACAAGAGGAAATAGTGGGGGAACAAAAGTAATGGAAGCAGAGGTAGAAATAGAGGGACGAAGAGGTACGGAAGTGAGAGGAATAGATGAAACATAAGGAAGTATGAGACAAGGGGGAGAAGCCTCAAAGTCACACTTGGCATGATTGTGCTGCAACCAATCCATACCAAGAATGAGGTCAAAAGCTTGACTCGGCACCACCCGCAACGACTGCAACTCAAGCTCGAGATCACCCACACGTACAACCAGGTCCGCCTCATCTCGTGCACATGCACGTGTACGGCCATTGCCATAAAGAATGAAAACTGGATCTGCCGCACGACGCAAGTGTAGACGACAACGTGTGGCAACAGGTCGAGCAATAGAAGATAAATTCGAACCTGTATCAACCAACACGGAGAGAAGAATAGGAGACCTCTTGTTATAAAAACGAGCTTGAAAAGTAAACACTGGATGAACCGGTGCCGAGTGAACCCCTTGATGATACTCCCGAAAGAAAGATGGAGGGGTCACTAACTTATTCGCGCAAGGTCCCTCCATTACTCGCGCGACTCCTCGTTTCCCGAATGCACCTCGGTATCCAAACCTTCCACCACAGTAGCACCAACGGGACGTTGCTGACGCCAAGGTCTCCACCCAGGAAATGGAGGTCGCCAATCTGGAAAGCGCCGACAACGCCAATAAGTATGACCAACTTCATCACACGCCCAGCAACGAACATCACGGCCACGACCACGTCCTCGCCCTTGTCCTTGGACTCGAGTAGCAGCAGCATCAACCTCCATGGGAACAGGACCATCACTCATAGGAAGTGGAGCTGAAGGACGTGTAGCAAGAAGTGGAAGAGGCGACGTCTCATAACGTTGTGCCAAGCGAAGAGCATCGTCAAGAGTGGCAGGAGCAAGTGCATGCACAAGTCCGACAAGATCTTGACGAAGTGCTGGCCACAGCATTCCTAGCTTGATCCGCTCCGACATATTTGGCTCCGCACGAAGCAAAAGACTTCGGAAACGAACACCAAATTGCATCACCGACTCAGATGGCCCTTGGCGAAGACGATGCAATTGTTGGAAGGCATCATCACAATCGTCGGCGTGTCCGAAGGCGCGTTTGAAGACGTCCGGAAGAACACTCCAATCGCCACGAGTAGCTGCGCTCAATCCATTGTACCACTGCAATGCCGTCCCTTGGAGACATGTGGGGAACTCACGCAAACGTCGAGCGTCATCTTAAGAATGATATGTGGCAATCACCGTGAAGTGATCGAACCAATGGTACACATCATCCCCAAGATTCCCACGAAAGAACTCCGGCCGAACGCGAGGATTGCCACCAAAAGCAGGAGGAGTTGTACCATGTGCCGTGAACGCCGCCATCAACTGAGTTTGGTTGTTCAATTGCAAGCGCATAGCATCAAGCAATTGAACCAATTGCTGCTCTAGAGTCAAAGGAGGAGATTGCGGATCGGCCATGAAAATGAATGAAAAAGAAAGAGCAAAAGAAGAGAAATGACAAAAAGCTGGAAAGAAATGGTAGATCTAGACAATGCAAAAAGCTAAATCTAAACCAAAATCCTGAAAGGAAAGAACAAAAGAAAGGAAATGGAAAAAGCTAGATCTAGACAATGCAAAAGCTAGATCTAAACCGAAATCCCAAATCCAAGCACTCCCCAGGGAACCAATTGCTGCTCTAGAGTCAAAGGAGGAGATTGCGGATCGGCCATGAAAATGAATGAAAAAGAAAGAGCAAAAGAAGAGAAATGACAAAAAGCTGGAAAGAAATGGTAGATCTAGACAATGCAAAAAGCTAGATCTAAACCAAAATCCTGAAAGGAAAGAACAAAAGAAAGGAAATGGAAAAAGCTAGATCTAGACAATGCAAAAGCTAGATCTAAACCGAAATCCCAAATCCAAGCACTCCCCAGGGACAATCAAAGGTGCCCCTCACCTCCACCAATGTGAGTGCATGGAATATGAAAAGGGAATACAGAAATGTGCATCTCAATTAGCCCAAAAACCCTAGCTTATATACAGGAGCGAGTGGTCCGGATTGAAACTATAGCGCACGTGGTTTTGACCCTTTATCCTATGGTGATTTACCATAGGATAACACCACGAAGCGGAACCTAAACCCTCTTTGTGCCACGTGACAGATGCCACGTGTCCATGCCACGTGTCCACAGGAACCCGAGGTTCAGGGCATTGGGCCACTGAACAAAG